GTGTGGTTGGTGGTGGTTCATTTCGCTTGCCCCACGATCTGTTCTGTTCCACATTATTGTACAGTATCCACTTTTCATCGCCCGTCACAATTTGTTTTAAAAACGGAACATTTTCATTACGTTCAAGTAGAGAATTGCATGCAGAAATATGGTTAGAAGTTTTTTTTCACTTAACTTATGTGGCACCCAAACATCAAAGCAATTAACATAACCAAGCTGGTGCAAATGATTTTCAGTGCTTGATTTGGATATTTTGAGTGTGCCGGCTATCTCCCACGTGGTATAATGTTGATTGTTCTCAATTACTGTCTTTATCACTGTCCACTTCAACTAGTCTACCCAACCATGGAGCATTGTCCAGCGAGAAATCTCCAGCACGAAACTGTGCAAACCACTTTTGACCCAGTCAGTCAGTCACAGCACTTTCTCCATACACTGCACAAATCTTTATCTGCATTTCAGTTGTGTTTTTACCTTTCTTGAAATAATAAAACATAATATGCCGGAAATGTTGCTTTTTTTCTTCCATCTTCAGTATTAAAATGGCTACACAAAAATTCACCAATTTTTATAAGTCTTCTTTTAAAATGCACGCTGATAGGACAGCTGTCACATACAATCTAACAAAATTGTTTCGAATGAAGTTAAAGACAGCTAAGTGCTACTGGAGCCATCTTACGGAAAAAACTGAACGAACCTTTTGGCCAACGCAGTAAAAGTCTGTGATGAGGATGAAATGAGATAAATGGTAGTATGAATTGATAGGCATAAAATACCACAATGTAAATTATTTTCATTTGCTTTCTACTATCAGGAGGCATTTAAGATTTTTTACATTGTCACTTCTCGATTTTAAGCATCTTGGCAGCAGGAGTCATTTTTTATGTCTTTGTGTGTCCCTCTGCTCAAGGCCAAACTGATACATATAAGAACCAGGGCATGCTAATAAAATTGATACCCTTTGAAACTGAAATTATTTTCATTATTTATAGATAAACTGATTGTCTAATAAAAATTATACTTTATATTTATGTACTTGATACTCAAACCGGGAATTTATAACATTCATTACAAGTAGTGTTCTGACTAATTTCTTGGGAGGCATATTAAGCTGATGAATATTTAAATAAAAGAAAGCACTCATTTATGATTTTAACATTTTTTTCTTATTGTGAGTTTTAATTTCAGGCAGTTGTCAGCTGACAAATTTTAAGGTTCATTAAGGAGTCAGGATTTGAATAGGATCAAATCCCACTCTCATACTAACTGTGTGACCTTGGGCCATTTTAAAAAAAAGTCTCTGTATTTTAGTTTCTGTGTTGTTAAACTAGGGATAATAATAACGATTAAGCTAAAGTCGACCACTAGACCATGGGCTTATTTACTTCTCCAAAAACCACGTAATGTAGGTGAGGAAATGAAGGCATGGAGTGGTTACACAGCTAATAAATAGTAAACGTGAAATTTGCACTCAGATAGTTAAACTCCAGTGTTCATATTTTTTGAGCACTATGCTGTATTACCTTCTTGATTACTTCATAAGTTGTTCTGAGGAGTAAATGAGATAGGTATGTAGAATACTTGATACAATTTTGATTTTCAGAGGTTTTGGGTTCTGGAATTGTAAGGTTTTGTGGACCTAGAGGCTAATTTAGGAGAATTATAAATATATAATTGTCCTTAGTTCTGAACAGTCTTGGTAGCTTATTAGAAATAAAAGTATCACAGACACCACCCCAGATATAGTGGATCAGAATCTGCATTTTAAGAACCTGCATTTAAGATTCTTAAAGTCTGAGAAGTACTGCAGTAGATGATCATGAAGATTTCTTCCATCTCACAGGTGGTGTGTCAGTGATTTTAGGGAACCAGACACATGGATATTTCAGTATTGATTATTGTGTTTGGAGAAGAAAATAGTAACATATCAAGTATTATTTTAATGTAAATCACTGTGAAGTGGATTTATTTATATATTTTGGCTTCCGTTCTGAATTTGTAAAAAGTTTCTGATGTAGTGCAAAATTTTTGTAAATTTTATCATCCTGTATCATCTTAGGAAATAATTAGAACTCAAAATTTTTAAATGGTTTTAGATCATATGTTCTTCTTAATCTCACCAGTTAAGATTATAATATTAGCCAAATACGTAAATGGGAACACTAAATATAACATGAAACTTTCTCAATTTTGGACAGTTCTCTATTCTGATATTTCATTGAATAGTTTAACATTTGAAGTTAAATATTATGAGATTAACCACAAAACAAACGAGCACCTGACTTGCTTGATTAGAGATGTTTAATTTTATTAGTCCCTGGAATATAGAAATTCCTCTCAAACTTAATTAGGGAAAGGTTCTTCTCCATAGATTTTTTTATTTTTTCATGTGACGGTAATGTCTGTTTTGTTCACTGTTAAATCACTGGCATCTGGCACGTAGCTATTCACAAATATTTGTTGAATGAATAAGAGTTTGTTTTTTGATGAGTTTTGCTGCCATTTTCAAATGAGTAAGAAGAGACTTGTAAGATTCTGAAAATGTGAGTTTTTAGACAATTGAGCATCTCCCCATGTTAAATAATTGAGTTAATAATCTTTCCCACATTATATAATTGTGATTCTTTTTTGAAAATTTAATTTTTTTTTTTTTTTTTGCGGTACGCGGGACTCTCACTGTTGTGGCCTCTCACGTTGTGGAGCACAGGCTCCGGACGCGCAGGCTCAGCGGCCCATGGCTCACGGGCCCAGCCGCTCCGCGGCATGTGGGATCTTCCTGGACCGGGGCACGAACCCGTGTCTCCTGCATTGGCAGGCGGACTCTCAACCACTGCGCCACCAGGGAAGCCCTGAAAATTTAATTTTTAAATTTCTTTAATTGATAGTCATACAGTTGGAGCCATAACACATCTATACAGTTTAGAGCAAACACCTGGTTAAAAAATATAGAACATTTGAGTATTGAGTATTTGAGAAGCCCCCTGTGTATTGTCCTCCAGTTGCATGCTCCCTTCTTTCCTTTATCTCCAGAGATAGCCATTTTGCTTGGTTTCATTGTTCAAACCTCTGAATAGATCCTTAAGCAGTAAGTTGTTTAGCTATGAAAAATGGCGAGCAAGCATAAATATAACTTTGTAAAGAAAGAGTAATATTGCTAATATTAGGTCAAATATCATTGAAGAAGGTAGGCTGGATAACGTATCTGGGTCATAGTCTGGTCTGAGCTTTCCTGAGAGTTTGTAAGAACTCTTTTCAGGAAAGTCAGTGGAAAAGGTTTTGAATGAATCTTGGGAAATAACATCTGTTTTTTATAGTTGGCCATCTGGTGATACTATAGTGTGGATCAGGTCCCGGATGTTCAGCAGAACTATTGTCAGAGGGACTGCAATGTTCTGTACTTTATTCTAAACCACCATGGCCTACTTTCATCTCTTGGAAAGAAGTCAGGGGAGACCACTTCATAGGTGCAGTAGTATCCCCAGCTGATTCAAGAAGGAGATCATGAAGGCAGGGTAGAAACATCAGTAGGCATTCTGTCCTCTGGTTAAAAAGGTGTGGCCAGGATGAGGAAAAAAGGTAATAAAAATACAAATGAACAAGAGTTGTGAAGGCCTTATATAGAAGAAATTTAAAAAATCCCTTCACTGAGGGACATAGAAGTTATGAATAAATGGAAAAATATTATTTGGGGGTAGGAAGGCTATTATAAATTTTCCTTATATCTTATCTAAGATTTCTGTTCATGTGTCACTTAATCATTGAAAGCTTCTTAGATCAACCACATGCAATTGTTTTATTTTTCTCTATAGCATTTATCCCCATCTGATATATATTTACTTATTATATGTCTTTTTTCCTCTTCTGGAATGTAAACTTACAAAGGTATGTAAATTCATGAGGTTGCGCTTGTTGTTCTTCCCTTACTAAAATGTAGATTTATGAGGGTATACTTTATTCCTTGTGATATCCCCAGCACTTTGAACTTACAGCACATAGGAAGCGGTCAATGACTGGTGAATGAATGAATGAATGAATAAATAAGTAAAACTGTGCTTTCTCTCATAGTCCATAGCACTTATTGTCTATTCCATAGTTTTTTTGTCATTAATTTCGTTCAGTTTAGCATCTTATAATGCTTTCTATTATTTTCTTTTGGTTCAGTGTCTTAATTGTTTCATTCCTGTAAGACATTCTTCTCTGGGCTTCTTGATGGCAGGAGTGGGACAAATGCATCCTTTGTATACCTTACAGTACGAGGCAAATGGATATAGGAACTTGTTGAACTGGATACATTTATTTATTTCATAATGACTTAAATTGCTAAAATCCAGTTTGCCTTCAACAAAAGGAGTATTTTTAATAGATAATACAGTATAATTCTAAACGAAATAGGGAAACAGGATGGAGAATTTTTAGAAATGTTTTGTTGAACTCGTGGTAAGTTTTGGTAACGGGAAGTTGGAAGTTGTGCAGTTATAATTTTACAAATTTCTGCACACAATTTGAGTAAATAAAAATATAATTTTTAGTGAGACATGGGTTTTTTACCTTGAAATTTTAATTTTTAAAAAGTCTCATGCTGTAGTTTTAAGATGAAATATAAACAAGTACAATCTGTTGTATACTTAAGCTTTCATACATGCTTTTGCATATATAAATGTATAAATGTTTTTATTATAAATACTTTATCACTTCACGTCATTCAACAATTTATGTAATTTGTTGTTCATTTATATTGCCAATAGATTGTTTTTTAAAATAGTTGCTGATATGCTATAAATTTGTTTCTACATATAGATTTTGTATATTGTTTCTGGGAGATAAATTTCCAAGAATGTACTTAACACTTTCAAAAGTAAATATTTTTAAAATTACTGAAACAATACCATGAATGCTTAAAAGGAGAAATATAAACTATGTAAAAGTTTTGTTGGTTCTTTTCTGGTTCCTATGGAAAACTATTTATTTATTAAAAAGATTTTTTTCCTGCTTTATTTCAGACCAGTCTGTCCATATGGGGATGGGGAAGCCTTGGCATTGTCCTTTCTCTAATAACGTTTGGACCCTTTGTAATATTTTATTTGGCATTTTATATCCTCTGCTTTGTGGGTGGGTAAGTATTCTCAATGATAATTTTATAATTCATGTCATGTTCAGTTGTTCAAAATGGAAACAAATGACCATGAGACCTCAATAAGAAAAAAAAAATGATCATGAGAAATGGCAGTATGATTTATTTGTGAATGCTATTTTTGCAAATTGTTTTTACTAAAGTTAAAAATAGTAAAATTAAGATAACTATAGAAATAAAAACGATGATGGTTATGATTTGAACCAGCAATATGGGTCATCATCTTCAAAAATAAATTTCAGTTTCTGATGATATAAACTTTTTTGTGTAACTTGAAAAGTTTTTAAAGATTTTTTTATTCCTTTTGGTGTTATTTCCCCTTTAAGGTTGAAATTTCCTTATCTATTAGAATAATAAGATAAATAAGTTAAATTGAGATGACACATCAAGTTTTACAGACTAGAAGATACTGTTTCATTGATTAGGCTTCAGACACTAATGTTAATTATGTTAATGTTAATTATTGTGTTAATTATTTCCCTTAGGGAATGCTGTCATTTTGTTCTAGAAAATTCTAACAAACACCTGATTTTGCCATTTTTCTCTTCATGGTTATTTGGTTTACAGTGTTTATGCTTTACCTTGAGTTGATAAAACTTTACAGGAGAGGTTTCAGTCATGATTTAGTATAACTTCCTATGTAGAATGTTTGGTATCAGATATGAATTATATGTAAGAAAATGTATAAACGAGAGATGCTTGCTACTTAGATACTCTGAACAAGGTAGTTTAGCTGAAATGAGCATTTTGTTGTTAATGTTTATGTGTGTATATATATATATGTGTATTTGTGTATATGTATAATACATTTATGTAATTATTTGTGCAGTGAATACCTATGAGTTCTTTCAAAAAAATCTTTTGAGACCCCAAATATTTGGAGGAATTGTTTGAGCCTATAGGTTTAGAGGACTTAGCTGAATTGAATAGCATATATAAACTGTGGCCTGAGAGAGACTGTATAAGACACTGAAGGGATGGCTTCTGAATATATCTACCACCTGACACATTTTTCAGGTTATGAGTTTGAAAGTCATGTGTAACCATTTTATAGGGAGGTCACCCACTGATTGTTGAACAAGTGAGAATTAATTTAACTGGGAAGCTACATCAAGGACTATTCATAAAACTGTATTTTATATTAGATTTAATATTTTCCTTATAATTGCTTGGATATGGTATTATGTACTGAGACAATTAAGAAATAAGCCATAGGAATCAGATAAATGGAGTTCTGAATATCTTCATTGATTATAAAGATGATTGAAGACTTACAGATCTGCAGCCATTTGGGCTTCCTGAATTACATTCTTTAGTCACAAATCAAGGCCAGAGCTGCATGGTTTCACCACTCCGCTGCAAGGTCATGGCTGCTTTTATTGATTGGAAAGGAAATTGAGGAGATGTTTCTCTCACAAAGGAAAGATTTATTTTATTTCACTAATTGAATAAGCCTTTGGCAAAAGTGAGGAAGGATTTCAGAATATTTTACAATACTTCAGAAAGGGAAGAAATTACAGCGTTACAGTTGAAGGTAGAGTGGTGAGAATCATTTCTCTTAGACTCAACTGCTCCATATAAGATTTGGGGAAGGGAAAAGGGTGACGAGTCCATTCATTTTGAAGTCCTAGGAACCTTTGTTGTTCCCGTTTTGAGTCTACTAATTTATTAAGGAATAATTTCAAGAAAGTTTTTGGATATTTGTAAAGTTCTGTGAAATTTTTTAGATAAGTTGGGATATTGGTAAGTGTGGGAGGGCCACTATAAACTCTTTAGATAATATTAAGTCACATGGAAGGATCTGAAATTCCAAGTTCATGTTATGTCATAAATTGATTTGATATTCTGTTCCAGACTACTGATGTCAGGAAATATAGTGCCACGGTAAGGGGACTTCGATTTATATACTAACAAGCATCCAGAATCATCTCAGAGGATTAGTTAATTAAGCAATCCCAGGTTACTCAGTTACAGTCAGTGAGTATCACAATTCCTGAGTCAAAAATCTTTCTAATTTTGGCTCTAATTATGAAGAATGATTGTCCTTTCTTTAATGTAGCTTAATATAGTTTAGTGCCTTATGAATTTTAAGAGCAAAAATAGGCTTTTTTTTTTTTTTGTGGTACGCGGGCCTCTCACTGTTGTGGCCTCTCCCATTGCGGAGCCCAGGCTCCGGACACGCAGGCTCAGCGGCCATAGCTCACGGGCCCAGCCACTCCGCGGCATGTGGGCATGTGGGATCTTCCCGGACCGGGACATGAACCCACGTCCCCTGCATCGGCAGGTGGACTCTCAACCACTGCGCCACCAGGGAAGCCCCCAAAATAGGCCTTTATATATCAATTTTAAATAAAGTAGTTACATTTCATATAACTAAAAATCATTTCTTAGTTTTAGTGTTTTTTTGTTTTTGTTGTGTAAGTTTTAAAGTTTTGTTTTTGTTCTTTTTCCTAGTTAAAATGCAAGTCAGAGAGGAATTAATACAGTTTCTTATGGAAACTATCTTTTTTTTTTTTTTTGGCTAGTAAAACTAAGTTTTTGAGTTCTGCAGTTTACCTGTATACAGTGTTGATAATGTATATGTTTTGCTTATAGTCAATGGTAATCCCTTATTTTCTAAAATAAGAAAACCCTTTGGCAAGAAAACCACTCAGAAGTTTTTGGTTTTTGTTTGTTTTTGAATTTTGGTGTTTTTTTTTTTTTCTGGTTATTTTGGGATACCTTCAATACTCATATGAGTTATTTAATGGCATTCCCGTTATGTTTGTTTGGTTATGCAATCATTTGTAACACCTGTTTTTAGTTAAACCTCAAGGCTGAAGGTATTAATTAGGTTCTTTCTAAGATCATACTCTTCCTTAGCTTACTTTCCTACTGTCACACTGTGGGCAAAGGTGAACGTTTTATCAGTTTATTTTATGATAATGTTTTTAGAAATGCATTGTTAACTTAATATCAGCATTTTATTGTGTCTAAATATGCTTACAGCTAGGTAAAACTGAAATACAAGACCAACTTGATTCTTAGTAATAATGTCAGATACAACACAGATATGTGAAATGTACTGATAATTCTGAGGCCAGCCTTTTAAAAAAGAAACAGAAACAGAAACAGAATTGATGACGTGAGTTGATTTGACTTTATCTGTTTCTCCAACCTCCTCCTTGCTTTTATGGTGCCTGTACTGAAGAGTGGTGAAATGGCAGATAGCCACAAAAAGCAGAGGACCTTGAGAATCTTCCTTTCAATAGCTAAGGCTGACTGTGTTTAATTTTTTACTGTTCCCTTCTTGTCACTGCACTCTTCCTTCCTTCCTTCCTTCTGTCCGTCCGTGTTGGGTCTTCGTGGCTGCACATGGGCTTTCTCTAGTTGTGGCGAGCGGGGGCTACTCTTCGTTGCAGTGCATGGGCTTCTCATTGCAGTGGCTTCTTTTGTTGTGGATCATGGGCTCTAGGGCACATGGGCTTCAGTAGCTGTGTCACGCGGGTTCAGTAGTTTGGCACATGAGCTTAGTTGCTCCGCGACATGTGGGATCTTCCTGGACCAGGGATCGAACCTGTGTCCCCTGCATTGGCAGACGGATTCTTAACCACTGCGCCACCAGGGAAGTCCTCAACTACTCTCTTTCAATCATTGTAAGATTACTGTAAATCATTATAAAATTAAAATTTAATATTCTTTTATGGATTTCCTATCTACTTAGTAGTGCTTAGATTTATTTGGGAACCTTTAAATGTAGGAAATACTGATAGCATTTAGTCAATACAAAGTATTCTAAACCAGTATTTTATCTTAACTTGACTCCATAATTGTTTTAAAAATAATTAACTTTGGGGGATATATTTATATTTCTTTTTAAAATTCCAGTCTTATTTTAAATTGTAAATTGGATCTTTTTTTTCCTGTATAGCCTTTGTTTATTCTCTATTCATAGTGGCAAGTTATATCTCTCTTTAATTAGTTAACAGAATTATAGAAATGTGGGTATAGCTATAGATGTACATCTCATTTGTCTTTGGTTATTAGCTTGCTTACTTATTTAATGAAGGTTTATTTTCCTAAAGTTTGAAAATGTTGCCTGAGATTCTTTATGAAATATATTGGATGAAAACTCGTAAAGGCATTATTGTATAAATTCACAAAATGTTTATAGTGGTTTTAAACTTGAGAACTTAACAAAATCTGTCAATTCCTTGCCTCGTCAAAGTCACAAACTGACTTTTTAGTGAATGGTAAGCCATCAGTTAAATCTGAAAAATATATTTGGTAATAAATAGATATGTTAAATTGTAGTGAAGTTTTGTTTTTGTATCTATAATTAAATTTCTTTCAGGGGTTTTGTGGTTACTCTCCTCTTTGGAAAAACAAACTCAGAGAAGTACCTAGAGCAGTGTGAACACTCATTTCTTCCTCCAACATCAACTGGGATTCCTAAGGTAAGAAGGGTAAAGGAAGGTGAAACCTTAAAGTCCTGCTGTATGCAGTGATGATATGTGATCATCTTTATATGGCTTGGCAGATTTTCCTATAATTCACTAATACTCACTATAAATTTATGAGAGTCTATCTGATCAGGCTTAGAAAATGCATGTTAGATGTTAAAGGTGAGAATGCAAATTTGAGGAAAAGGTAGAAATTTGGGGTCTTTTCCTGCTGTCTTAACTTAGAATTTCAATGCATCATGTGTATGACTTGTGGAAATGTCAATGAATATACCGTTTTGAATGAAATAAATGCATCGGAACCAGAGGGAGGAAAATGGGCACTTTCTCTTTAACTCACTTGAAAAACAGAGCTTGCGATTAGGCTGTGCAGTTTCTATAATTTTAATAATTCAAGTCCAATTTTATATTATCTTTCATATTCTTTTTTTTTCAATATCATACTCTAAATAAAATTGGAATTGCGTACTAGAAGTAGGCTTCATAGTCTCATTGCCTTCAATTATTATTGTGGGATAAGAATGGTTTTTCTTGTATGAAGAGAGGCAAATGGTCTGGAGTTGATGCCAGTAACTGAATTTTACAATTATTAACTTATCCATTATGTGCTAATAAGACTTTCATATTGATAAATAAATACATTTTTTTCTAATACTTACTGTAACTTTTAAAGTAATCTCTGAAACTTACTTCTGTCTCCCTTTAAAACTCCCTTTAGTGTGTATTCTTTGAGTTTGCTCACAGATCTTTCTGAGCAAATGAACCTTTTTTTTTTTTAATTGAGGTATAGTTGACTTACAACGTTGTGTTAATTTCTGCTGTACAGCAAAGTGACTCAGTTATACACATACGTACATTCTTTTTTTAAGTATTCTTTTCCATTATGGTTTATCCCAGGAGATTGGACATAGTTCCCTGTGCTATTCAGTAGGACCTTGTTGCTTATCCATTCTAAGTGTAATAGTTTGCATCTACTAACCCAAAACTCCCAGTCCACCCCCCTCCCTCCTCCACTCCCTCTTGGCAACCACAAATCTGTTCTCTCTGTCTGTGATTTTGTTTCTGTTTTAGAGATAGGTTCATTTGTGCCATATTTTAGATTGCACATATAAGTGATGCCATATACTATTTGCCTTTCTCTTTCTGATTTACTTCATTTATATAATAAGATAATCTCTAGTTGCATCCATGTGGCTGCAAATGGCATAATTTCATTCTTTTTGATGGCTGAGGAGTATTCCATTGTATATATGTACCACATCTTTATCCATTCATCTGTTGATGGACATTTAGGTTGTTTCCATGTCTTGGCTATTGTGAATAGTGCTGCAGTGAACATAGGGGTGCGTGTATGTTTTTGAATTGTAGTTTTGTCTAGGTATATGCCCACGATTGGGATTGCTGGCTCATATGGTAACTCTATTTTTAGTTTTCTGAGGAGCCTCCATACTGTTTTCCATAGTGGCTATACCAACTTTCATTCCTATCAACAGTGTAGGAGGGTTCCATTTTCTCCATGCCCTCTCCAGCATTTGTTATTTGTAGACTTTTTAATAATGGCCATTCTGACTGGTGTAAGGTGGGTGGTACCTCACTGTAGTTTTGATTTGCATTTCTCTAATAATTAGTGATGAGCATCTTTTCATGTGCCTACTGGCCATCTGTGTGTCTTCTTTGGAGAAATCTCTATTAAGATCTTCTGCCCATTTTTCTATTGGGTTGTTTGTTTTTTTGCCTTTTCTTTTTGAATCATTTCCTAGCCATCCATATTTTCCACTCCCTTGAGCGGTACATAGAGAGGATGCAAAATATTTTAAGAATTAAGATCCTAAACAGTAATAAATCATAGTCAAGACTGGTTAAGTCTTTATAATCTGTTTTTTAGTATATGGTATAAAAATGGTGATTTTGATTGCTATTTCTAAAATGATTCCTAAGTTTTTTTTTTTTTTTTGGGGCGGGGGCAAGGAATAGAGACTTTATTCAGAAAACCTGCAAACCAAGAAGATGGCAGACTAATGTCCTAAAGAACCATCTTGTTTGGGTTTGAATACAAGCTTCTGTTATGCTACAAAGAGAGGGAACTGGGAGGAAGTGAGGTCAAGAGGTGACGAGTTGTTGCAGACTTCTTGGTGCCAGCCAGATCTTGGAGGGGACGTGGTCATTGTTTGTTCTTGAGTTATTCACTGTAGGGTTGGCCATGATGCTCCTAAGTATATTTTATGAAAAAATCTTAGAGGTTGCATATGATAACTCGAGGCATATGTTTTTTATATGTATTTGTGCTTTGGTTTGTATTTTTAATTGAAGAATGTCTTACTACTTTTCACCCGATTTCCAGGTCACTGGTCTTTCTGAAGACTACAGAGAAAAATTCATTTTCTTTAGCTGCTAAAAACCATCCCTAAGTAAAATTAATTTAAAATACATTCATTTGGCAGCTGGTATACTGTTTTGGGCTGGGAGGGAGAAGGAGGAAATACGGGTGTGTTTAATAAAGACAATTATTAGTTTGACTCACCTGAAACACTAACTTATGATTTTAAAGTTTCATTGAAATATGGCAATATTATATCTGATATTTTCAATTTCTCACATTCTAGATAATGTTTGCTGATAATTGTTTTTGGTGATGACACAATATTTTTTTTTCTAGATGTCTAGTTTTGTTTATTTGAGAAGTAGTGTTTGCTTTATACCCGAGTCTCAAGAAATAAGGTTATTTATTAACTTGAAGATAATGACAGGGAAGTTACAATGAATATTTAGTTAGAAGTAAACTACAGAGACTTTAAATCAAGAAACTATGTAATAGAATGTTATGGTTTCCTTTCAGTGCTTAGAAGAAATGAAACGGGAAGCCAGGACTATAAAGATCGATAGAAGATTGACAGGTGCCAATATAATTGATGAACCTCTCCAGCAAGTGAGTTTCAGTATGTGGTATTTGAATTCCATATGTTGTGTGCTAGGTGCATTGCTTTTGAAAATATGAAGGAATAATTTTTGCTATTTATGTAATGTGCTGGAAATTCATTATAATGCTGTCCTTGGAGTCTGTACATAAAGATGCTGCCTTACTTATGAACTTATTTATAATAAGGTGTTTGCTTAATACGATATTAAAGCCTTTTGGTTGAATTTACATTTAGAAAAAAAAAGTTTTTACTGACATCTGATAATGTTTCTAATTATTTTGTAGTTAAAATGTTACTCTTCAGCTGATGAACAAGCTTAGTGGTTTGATGAATCAGATGTTTTTCCTACTAGTTTTATTATTTTTTTAAATGGATATTTATGGTTTCATTCAAAAATATTTTAAAAATTAGAATTAAAATTATTCTCCTCTAAAATATTTTTCATCAATTCTTGATTTTGTGATTATTACAAATAATGTATACTTTAAAATTGTAATACTATTTTTTAGATGAACCCATATTTACTTTGTCTGATTTGCAAAAACATAGTACATTAAACTGTATTATTTGCTATTTATTGGCTAACAGTGCTGTTGGCAGCATCACCGGTATTAGAATTAAGTGAGTTGTCATTTTTATAATTTGGTGCAATGAATCTGATGATATTCTCAAAAGAAAACGTATTTCCAAGGTTATTAGCATCTCTTGACATTATTTTGCATCTCATTCCATCAAACTGATTAAAACTTCATTATGCTATAGCATTGGAAATTTATTTTTTCTGCAGGCTTCATCTTTACCTGAAATTGGGTGGGGCTTCACCATGGATAATTCTTTAATTTTTTTAAAAATTTGGACAGTGGATGAATTGGGCTACCAAAATAATTGAAAAATTTTCGAAATGTTTTTTAGTATATTGATGCTTTTTTAATGAAGGCAGTTATTTACCACTACAATTTAGTATGTAGAGAATAAATATAAATCTCAAATAACCCTTTCAGGTTTTACTTTGCCACTGTTACTTTTTAAATCCTAAAAAATTGTATTTTTTTCCATATTTTTGTTTTAGGTTATCCAATTTTCCTTGAGGGATTATGTCCAGTATTGGTATTATACACTAAGTGATGATGAATCTTTTCTTCTTGAAATTAGGCAGACTCTTCAGAATGCACTCATTCAGTTTGCTACTAGGTAAGGTCACTGCATTGTATTTATGCAGAAAAATTTAAATATTGTTTGTATAAATAGGGAAAATAACTTTCAAATGGAAGGAGAAAATTGATTTATTACATGGTAAGTAGAATAGTAGATTATTATTGTGGGATAACTCTTAGATTATAGAACTAGAGTCATAAAAACCTTTGTTCCTTTACATTTACAGAATGTTTATCTTGACTAATCCCTGTTCTCTTAGTCTGTACGTCCGTTTCTTCCTCAGGGTCCAGTTGTCCAATCATGTGACTGTTCAAAGTCTTTCATCCCACTTACTGGTAATACTTTTTTCCCCTCTTACCCAGATACTCTTGTTCTGTTTTATTTTGTTTTTAGTTGCATATCACTCCCTTATTATACTGTTCTGGAAATACGATTTAGTACAGTTATGCTGAAAATGAGTACTGGGCCAAGTGGCAGCGCCAAACAACTGGAATATGATTCAGAAATCTGGCACAGTGAAAGACATGCTTGGACATGATCAAGAGGCATTTTATGGCCATAAAACAATAAGGCAGGGGAGGGGTTCTGAAACATACAACAGGGTGAAGTCCTATACCTTAGGAGTCAGGGAGCTTATCTCCTGTTGGTGTAAGGAATGGTTTGTTTTCTGTTAACAACCACTAAAATCCCCAGAAGGTTTTTGTTGTTGTTATTTTTAATATTAATATTTATATATAAATAATATATGAAATATATATTATATGTACAAATATAGACACAACATATATATATTTTTTATATATATAGTTTTTAAAAGTAAATGCAACACTTAAACATTCAGGATTGATCCTAATCTTCTGGAGCGAGTTCCTCTGCTGTAATGGAGGAAATGTTTGTTTGAATCACCATGCAGGTTACATTCATCTTCTACTGGAATAACTAGAGCCTCCCAGGCAGTCACATGACTACAAAATAGTACAGGATTAGCTTTTGGGAACACAAATAAGCTCTCTTGTTCCTCCTCATTGGTCACATCTTAGCATGGTTCTTGCCTATCTTCTACTCAAGCAGGGCCTTAGTAATAAACAAAGCACCAGCAAAAAGTCCCAGAGTTACTTCCTCTCCACCCTCTTGAATAAGTCTTCCCTTGGCTTGGACTGAGGACCGCTTGCCCCATAGGTGCTGTTCTGACTAGATTGTATGAAGGAAATGGGAGCCGGAGACAAAATGGCTAAAAGAAAATTGGGAGCCACTGATCCCCATCTGGAGCTACAACTTAAGATGCCCACAGACATGTGCAGGGAAGAGGTGCAGAGGAATGGGATGGGAGGGGGGTGTCCTTGGGAAAGTAGTCTGCTTGCTTGCCTTCACTTCTTGGCCTTGCGCTGGGCAGCCATAGCCTCCATCACTTCACACATGGGCTCTTCATTTCCCTGGAACTCCATGGGCTTGATGGGCTTCAAGTTCTTGTCCAGTTCATAGACAGTGGGACTACCAGTGGGCAGGTGCAGCTCCCCAGTAGCCTCTTCAGAGAGACCCTCCAGAGGGTTGACAGTGCCCTGAAGGCTATTGCCGTGGGCTGTATTCAGTACCCCCTTCCCCTCCTCCATCTGGGGAACTAGAGCTCTGACAGTAGTGTACTTCACTCTCACATGAGGGTAGCTGATCTTCAGTGAGGTCTGCATACCTCAGTCTTTATTGATGTTGCTGTAGAAGGGATGGTTGAGCTTCATAAGAGGTGGTAGGACATAATAGTGTGTCCAGATCTTTACCTGGGTTTCGTCACGTTTGGCAGCAGTTTCTGCTTTATTGAAGTCAAGTCCTCACTACTGGTGGCCACACTTGGTCATTGGCATCCAGTGCTGTCCAGAAGATCCAAATCGCTTTCTTCTGCACCGTGGTGAAGCAGATGTCAAACTCTTAGCCAGCATCTTGTAGCACCTGCATGTGGTGCTTCACCTTCTTACGCCTCCTGGGCTCATGTTGGCTTTGCTCCAGCCACTGAAGCTGTTCTACAGGTTCTGTGTGCTTTTCCTGTGTGGGATCAGCACCACCTTGTAGGTGGTCATGGCGGCGGTTCCCAGTGCAGCATAGACTGGGGCTCACTGAGATGCCAAGGTCACCCCAGATACTCTGTTTTATTCAAATGCTCTGAAAATAGTTCGGCATAACTGCTCACTTTTGGCACATACCTAACGGGGTCCTCTTAGAGGAAGAAGAAACCAGAGGAGCATTAGTCAGTGGAGAATACGTATTCAGTTTATTTGTTTACTTTCAGAAGAGAAGTGTATTTTAATGAGTTTCCTTTAAGAAACTTTTCTGAGATATACGAAAATTATCACTTTACAAACACCCCTTACATACTGCCTCCCATATGACAAAATATTTTGGTCTATATCCTTGTATTTAAACTGCTTGATTTTGGGGAGGGCATTTCATATGCAGAAATTATTTATTTTTGAAAGAAAGGATTCTATCTTTGGGCGAATTTGCAATCTTTTTTTTTTTCTTAAATAAAAGAGTTTGCTACCCAGTATACAGAGTGATTTTCTTATGAGCCTGTGGCCTCAAGGCAGGAGGCTGCATTGCTATGCCAGGAGTACACTGTTAAATCTGAAGGTGTTATTCTCCAGCCAACCCCTCTTCTTCCCTAATTAGGTTCTTGAAATATACTTTTGTACTTTTTTTTTTTTTTTTTTTTTTTTTTGTGGTACGCGGGCCCCTCACTGCTGTGGCCTCTCCCGTTGCGGAGCACAGGCTCCGGACGTGCAGGCCCAGCGGCCATGGCTCACGGGCCCAGCCACTCCGCGGCATGTGGGATCCTCCCAGACCGGGGCACGAACCCGCGTGCCCTGCATCGGCAGACAGACTCTCAACCACTGCGCCACCAGGGAAGCCCTGCTTTTGTACTTTTGAGAGTCTTGGAGAATAGAGCTTTGCCCTAGGGCTGTTACTTTGTTTCCATCTCTGTTCACATAGATATTTCTAGCTCATGCTGCCCTGTCAAGACTTTTTCTTCTATAATTCAGTTGATCTTAAGCTTTAGAGTGTGAGGTGAGTTCCTCAGCCTGCGGTCACTGAGGAGGCCTACAGTAAGTTTCATGGTTTGAATTTTAATCTTACTTAGATAGATTTGAGCTCCTTCTCCCTTATGATTAACAGCAAACATTGTAAAGTAGCCAGCCATGATTAGGAGTGTAGACTTACTGTGGAACACAGAAAATATAATAAAGTATAATCAAAGAAGTCAGAAATTGGATTTTATCTCCTTATTTCATATATGTAACATTATTGTGTGTTAGGTATTTTTTAAGATCATTCTTCTGAATCGGTCATTCACTGCTTTTTATGGTAACACCATCCTAATGATGTTTTTCTCCCTTTGGAAGAGTGGGAATAAGAAGAGTTCATTATTCTTGTGTCTGACTGCTTAACAATATATGAAAATATAAAAAATTTTAGACCTAGAAAGAACTGTGAACTAGTAATTGGAAGACTTGAGTTTGCATCCTGCTCTACCATTTAGCCGCAGTACTGTGAGCAAGTATTAAACATTTTTTTTTGGATCTTGGTTTTTCTCACATGTGAAATAAGCCTAATAATAAATACCTGCCCAGTACTGCATTCCTCACAGGGTTATTGTCATGATCAAATTCATCTATTCATTCAGCTAATATTTTGTGTCTACTTTGTACCAGCCAGGTGCTGAGGATACAGCAATGAGTAAAGCAAAATCCCTGCTCAGTGGAATGTAATGAAAATAATCCTTGTGAAAATGTTTTCAAAGTTGTGAAGGAATTTAGAAGTTTAAGTTTTTATGCCGTCCAACATCCATAATTTCACAGACAAGGAAGCTAAATTCCAGAAAGATTAAGTGATTAGTCTAGGATTATCTGTTGAGTTGGGGGCAGAGCGAGAATTAGAATCAGGTTGTTCTTAATAGTTAGTATTCTTTCCTCCACTCCCTACCAGATATATTATGATCTAGATTATTCATCTTAGTTTCTCCCACCTTTCTCTCATGTCATTGCAATGCTTTCCCTGTTTTTGATCTTATAACCACCTTTTCTTTGAACTTCCTGTCGTAAGTTTTTTTTCCCCCTTCTCTAATATTCTATGCTTTCAAGGTAAGTATTTGGGTGATTACAGGAAGAGCCAGGTTTCTTCCATACTAGACTGATATGAATTTATATATTTGCTTGTTCATTGGTCTTAAGTTTTTGGGCAAATTAATCAGCCTCTCTTGAGCTTTAGTTTCCTTATTTGTAAAGAGCTGATAATAAGCTACTTTTGAGGCTGTTTTCGGGCTAAAAAACAATATGATGTAAAACCTGTAGCATACAGTAAAGCTCAGTTATTGTTTGTGCCTTTTCTGTGAATGACTTTATTTTTGTCCTTCATTGGCTTTTTCTGTTACTTCTAAAACGTATGTCTTCACAGAGGCTCCTTTACTATTTCCAATGTGGATATCAAGAAAATTAAGTCTGGTTATAATCACTCAAATACTGTAAAAATTCTTATTCTTGTCTGCTGTGCACTGTGAAGCATAAGTTATTACTTCCCTCCTTCAAATTACAATCTTGCATAGGGTTCTTAACCAACAGCCCATGAAGCCCTGAAGATGTATGCAAAATTGTCTGTGTTTTTTTTCCTATTGAGTGATTCCATAGATTTTATTTTCAGAAAGGGCCTATGAACCCAGAAAAGATTTAGAACCACCAAATTCTAGTGTTCTATTTATTCATCAGCTTGGGGAAGCAATTACAGAATATCAACATAAAACAAAATACTCATTTTGAGGTATAACAGGAAGAAAAGGATATACTTAGAGTGTGAAGTTCTGGTTTTGAGCTTTAGCTCTATTATTTATTAAGCTGTATGGCCTCGAATGGGTAGAAACCATAAATTCTTTGAGTCTAGTGATAACCTATGTCTGCTTATCAGGTTGTTGTTAGGATTAAATGACATCGCATGTGAGAGAGTACTTTGTAATGATAACACCTCATACTAACATTAGTACCTGTTATTCTAGTAAC